GTTAAAAGAAATAAGAAGATGAAAAGACGCTTCGCTGGTGGTGTGTTCCATGGTCTCTTCAGCCCGCCCGCAGGGTATCAAAGAGGTAGCGACCCGGGCCTGAGCAAAACCACTTCTCGACAAAAGAAGCGCAAACATGCAAAGCAATGTCCACAAACGCCTGTGGAGGACATGAGGCATGCAACCCGTGATTCGAGATCAGTTGGAAGATGTTCGTTTATCCCGCCGCCATTGCACTTATATCAAACCGCACAACCGCAGGTTCTCCTGGATAATAATGTCTAGAACATGTCAGCGTAATACAAGCATAGTAGTGTTGGGTAGTCGTACCGTTTACTGCAGCCATGACGAAGCGGATCTGCATAGTGTCTGTGGCACATGTGAAATGCGTGTAAATTTGCTTTGTCTCGTGTTGGTTGAGCGAAACGAAGCGGTTCAGGATGTAGTCACACGCAGCAGCGTAGTCTGGGCCGCCCTCGTAGTCGGGGAAGTAGTTCTTCATGGGGCTGACGGGCAGCTTCTCCTTGAAGCGATCGATCTTGTTGAGGAACAGGATGATGGATGTCTTGACGAACCACCGCGAGTTGCAGATGGAGTCGAACAATGTGAGAGCTTCTTGCATACGGTTGACGGTCTCGTCCTCGAACAGCAGCTGGTCGTATTCGGAGATGGCGACGAGGAAGAGGATGGTGGTGACGTTCTCGAAGCAGTGTATCCACTTCTTACGCTCAGATCGTTGACCACCGACATCGAACATGCGGTAGGTAAGATCGCCGATGATGAAGGTGGTTTCGGTGATACCAGTCGTCTTGACACGCGATCGGAGCACGTCCTGGTCGTTGGGAATGTAGTCGGGCGCAGCGATACGGTCGATGGAGTCGAAGTAGCTGTCAACGATTAGCGATGTTGCGCATTCACTGCACGGAGCATGCTCACTATTTAGCAGAGTCGTTGAGCTGGTACTCGCGCGAGCGCTGGAAACACTGTTGGACACCGGCGTCCTTCCACAGGACTGAGATGGCGTTTCCAACCTCCGGGGGCAGGCTGTCGCCCTCGATCTGTGCCGGCTGCATGAAGATGGTCTGGACGTGGTATTCGGCGCGCTGGTCGTCGAGCGGCAGCTCGAGCGACTCCATGGCCTCGAGGATGACGCGCATCGACTGGACGGTGTTGCTGAAGATGATCTCCTTGAACGACTCGCGCTCGTCGCGTGAGTATCCGCCCTCGTGGATGAGCTTCATCTGCTTGAGGATGGTCGACTTTCCGGACTCTCCGGCTCCTGCGCGCTGTTAGAGGCTGGCAACGTGGCGGGCGTCGCAATACTGACCGAGGAGCAGCATCTTGATCTCGTTGCGCTGCATCATCTTGTCGCGCTTGAGCTGGTTCTCAATCTCCTCGTTCCTCTGCTTGCCCTCCTTCTCTTCTGTGCTCATTCCGCAACCCATGATGGCGGTAGGGGACGGTGTCCGGGGTGATTATTAGGGTAGGATGGGTGATGTTCCGTCGAGGCCGGCCAATGCGGAAATCTGGAGGGCAGAGTCAATAGGAGCTCAATGGCAGACAGCGGCGGCGTCGTGCGAGTGCAGAGGGTTGGCGAGTTTAGCCGTGGGCGAGGCGAGGGCAGGCGATGCCGATGTTTGCTCGCTCGCGCTCGACGGTGGCGCTTGGGTCCCAGAGCTCAGGCAGCGGCAGGCGCGACGGGGCGTCGAGAAGCAAAGGGAGGCTCACCTGGTATTACAAGACGACCCCCAATGGAAGGCGCGGTGGGCAGCGGTCGGATGTGGAAGGGATGAGGGTGGAGGACGAAGGTGAAGGGATGGCTGGCGTATGAGAGACGACGAGGCTCGCTTCGCTCCGAGGTCTCAGGGTTGCTGCACGGTCGGCTCGGGGGTGGATCGGCTGGGGGAAGCAACGTTGGCTGCGCGCTCGCCGACGTGTCGCAGCAAGAAACAAGAGGCGCAGAAAAGGGCCGGGACTGGGACTGCAGCGATTGCGACGAAGTACAGCCGTGGATTGACGTTTGGGAGAAGCAAAGAACAAGAGGCGAGTATGAAGAAGGCTGATGAAGGCCGCGAAAGGAGAGGCGCTTGCCCGCGAAAGGAAGCATCGCCAGGCCTAGCTAGCCTGCAGCTGCTCCCGGGCCACTCTACCACCAAACCCTCCGATGCCCATCTTGCAACGACTAGGTGCTAGCATCACTAACATCTTTTGCCGATTCCCCCTGGCTGGTTCGCCATCTTCGCTGCTTCTGGCTGTCCGCTGTCTTGACGTGAAGGCCTGTCTAAGCCCACCCACTGCCGACCCAACACCACACCCACCAGACGTGCCCGCCTGTTCGTCCGCCCGTCTGGCACCTGTTCGCCAGTTCGCTCACCGTAAGTTGGCCTTCGCCATTGGCCGCCGGGCACAGCAGCTCTATTCGCTGCAGCTCGCCCGCTCTTGCTGCAGGCCCTGGTGTCGCCTCCTCAGCCTCTGTTGCACTACGCGGTTTGACATGGAAGCGCTGTCGACAACACCGCCAGATGCGACTCCCGTAAATCCCGTCCCGCCTGAGTCTGACTAGCTGCGCTTCTAGAAGGTTTATGGAAATTTTGGACCCATCGAAAGAAGAGGGCCTTGACGCTTGGAGCCGGCAAAGCATCCAGGCACGGTGCCTTGAAACGCCGTCGCGTTTGGCCTCTCCTTCTCACCCGTCCTGTCTTGCATCTGCAGGCAAGGTCCCGGCCTCGCACTGCGTCGCTCTATCTGCTGCTGTTCTACCTCCATCAGCAGCCCGTGGTGGTGCGCTGACAGGTTTGGTACCACGCTTCTGCCAGCCACTCGAGTCGCTCCTCGGCCAAGCACTGACCGGGGGGCTATTGACTCTAGTCCCCTTGCGGCTAGCCCCGCAACACACGAACATTCGCCAAACGTCCGTCGCATCGCTTCATCTCCCCGACTCGCGCGCTTCGGCCAATCATTGCGCAATCAGATTTTTGGATTTTCCCAAGTATCCTCGCCTCGCCTTTCTGCCGTTGCACTCGGCTGCCTGCTCGTCATGTCGCCTCAGGTCTGGGTGGATGCTGGATTTATGCTCTTCTGGGGTACTCAGCACTTATGAACATGAAGGTGTCGCGGTCATGCGACTGCCATCTTCGTCCCGTCCTTGACGAAACTATAAATCACTAATCTGACTGGCAGCCGGGGCTTAGCCGTGCCGAATACACTCTGTCTGAACACTATACTTCTTACCAGCGTTGTGCTGTTCCAGTACCCTTCTCCTGGGATGATGCATCAACAGTCTCAACTTCTGTCTCAACTCTTGCGCACAGTCCTGAGTCAGACTGACGGGAGGACCCACGAACGACACGTGGGAGCAATGACCGCCCGTGAATGCCGCTGAATAGGGGGACAGCTCTGGCCACGCGAACAGGTGACTACGTTTACACCTCGTTCATGGCTCGAAGCACGAGCATTCCCCCAGCTTGTCTAATGCCGAACCTTATAGTTCCACGCCTTTGCAGATATCATATCGTGGTTATATTCGCGTTCTCCTGTTCGATAACTTCATCTCCTGTTATCGTCAAGATCTGCGTCCCATGACGGAGTATGGCTGTATTCCACCTCTTCTCTCCGTGAGCTCCACATGGCTACGCAACATGCAGACCAAGTTACCCGCTTTGGTGGTGACGTCTCCACATAGCGACGACGTTCCTGCGCATTTAGCCATCTGGTAACCGATTTGGGTGGGTGCCGAAGAACATCCATATTTCTCTACTTGAAGCTCTGTTATCTCGGCCTCTGGGCGCCGTTACAAGTCATGCATACTGTAGTGACAACGGGTAGCTGACGAGCTGTTGTCGATCGCCTTTGTAATCGCTGACTTGCCATGGTATCGGTTTGATCAGTGTGCGATTTGCGCTAAGACTGAAATTGTCATCTTTTGCGCGTTACTCCAGTCTTCAATTAGAAACTGGGACGAATATGGTTCTCTCGAGAGGTAGCACCAGATGTCGCAGCCGTTGTCACGAAGACAGACGATAATGCCAAACAGACGCGCACAGCCAGATGACGGCCCAGAATAGTCCATGACCTCGTCAGTCGAGTTTCGCGTCACCAACGCGAACGAACACCAATGACGCGGTTCTCGGGTAGTCGCTAACGCTGGGCTGCAGCGTGTTTTCGTCCCACGTAATGCACGTAGGCCAAGGCTCGCTTTTGTGTTCTGCTCGAAGTTTATACAGGCGCCGTGCAACGACTGGCTGACGTGGTAGACTAGCCCGAACCCCAGCGCTTAGCGCACGACGCGAGCGCCTAGAATAGCATCTTTGCACCACCACATCTTCGAAGCGACGACTCTCCAGTCAATCAGCCTCTCTCAATTCTGCGAGCGCTTACCATGGGTGTCAATGACCTCGAGAAGCCGCTATCGTGGCGCCTCAGCGGTTGCTCACGCAGGGCTCTGACATGGCGGCTGGCAACGATGCCAATACATATTGTCAGCCTACCATCCCCCACTTAATGGCTTTGGTATACATCAACAAAACTTCATGAGACGGTGGACGCGTTACGAATTTCCTTGAGTTTCTCTCCTTCAATTTCCTTGTTCATTCCGCTGCAGGTTCAGCGCTTCTCCGCATCTTCCCTCATGTCTAGATCTCTTAGTGAGTAAACTATTGTCATACGTCCATCCTTGAAGATGTAGCTAACACTGGTACAGATACTGTACAACTATGCTTATGAGCCACTTCAAAAGGCTATGGATCTCATCAGTCTTTATAATACTAGCTTCGCCGATACAGGCAGCACCCACTGTCGCTTCCACACCAAACTCCCTTCCGCAGGCGCTTCAACAGAGTGTACCCCAATGCGCACAATCATGTTTACGGTCTTCGCTGGACGAAAGATTTCCCGTAGCATGTTCTGGTCAAGAGAGTCTTCAATGCCTCTGTTCTCGTTATAGTAATGCTGGAGAGTCACTTGGCGAAGTGGCTCTCGGCTGCATCTACCTATCGTGCCCCATGGAAGATGCCCAGGCATCACTCAGTTCAACCTACGGGATTTGTCTGGGGCAAAAGGATGCGGTCATGCCGACCAAGAGTGTTCTCACGTACGTCGTGACGAGCGCAACTCGCACCATGTCGCCGACTCTCAGTCTACCAACCACAACGAGCACACCGGTCATCACATCCTCTTCACGAATTCAAAGCAGCTCTACCCAGACCGCTTTTGCCGATACTGTTCCTTCACTCCCGTCTGCTACATCGTCGGCAACGTCTTCGCCTGTCGCAGCAACCACGGCTTCAAACAATCCTCCCAGAATGACACCTGCGCAGATTGCTGGACTTTCAGTAGCTGCAGTAGCAGCTTTTGTTATGGCGATTGGACTGATGGCGCTCAGTGTGTGCTTGCGCAGACGAAAGGAGCGACGGGTGGTCTTCGATGGAGACGAAAAGGGAGAGACTCAGCGAGGAAAGCAGCTTTCGACAAGATTCTCGCACTATGTCCAAGTAGGACACGGTACTGAACTACCGAAGCAGTTCCCCTTGGCGCCTCCGCGAGCTTTTCGCAGGGGCAGCAAGCAAGGCCCAGCACGTCCAGCGCAACGATTCGGGGTGGGAACTTCCAACAGTTCCTCAAATTCCTCGTTGCCACTGGATCAGATAGGTCTGGCCATCAGTGCCGAGCTGGATGGAAAGCCCGTGGTACCTCAGAAGGCGCCAAAAGTCGGCACAACGCATCAAAAGGCACCTCTCGCGACACAATCGCATACCAGCACAGCCTTTCGGCCTGTCAGTACGATGACTCAGGAGACTGTCTTCGAAGAAGATGAGACCTCACCACACCGGAGATCCTCGATGCTGTTGCCCACGCCTCCAGTACCCATTCCTCCGATCCGCGCTCTACAGCCCTCTAGACGAGCACCAAACTTCGCCGTCAACCAGCGTTCAGCAGGACGTGGATCCGAGTTGTTTCTTAATATTCCTGTTCGTCACGAGAGGCCCCAGCCGAAGCAGATTGCTGCGGCAGCGACACGCTCTCATGGTGCACCACTACCACCTCAAGCGCAGCCTGCAACACGCCCGCGCTTGGCACCACCTTTCCAGATGACATCTACAGCCACTTCGTACGAATCAAAAGCCACGACTGCCAGCTCGCGCGACGCAAGCACATCTGGAGACATCATCGACTATTATTTCTCCAGTGGCCAGAGCCGTGACCAGACACCCAAGGCCAGTCCAGCGCGCATCGTCCGCCCAAAAGAGTCACCGAAGACTGTGCAGATTAAGTCAAAGAAATCGCACGGTAGCACACTGTCGCGTACTACATCGCGAACTTCGACCAGCCTACGCGATTCCCTGAACAGCCAGACATCTTTTGAGACGACAAATGCCAACGACTCCACACCCGAAGATGAGGACGAAGACAAGCAACTGTCGGATGACAGTGCCAGCAATAAACAGCAGCTATCACCTGTCGCTGAGTCGCCAATCTCCAAGCTGCGATACCCAAAGGTGCCTCGGTCTTCGAATCAGCTGGTACCGCGTAGCCCAAAGAGTTCGCCACAGCAGCAGAACTTCAGAAGTCCACGTAGGGCCCCAGACGCGTCAGCACTTCTTCAGAAACGCAACAATGCTCTTCCGCCACTACTACTCGAGTCCCGGCCTAGACTAGAGAGCCCTCACCGAGACCCGTTTACATCCCCGCCGCGTGTGACTAGTCCTCCGCGCAGGGCTCGGTCACACATGCGCAGCAACAGCACAGAGTCGTGGAGCACGACACCTGCTTCAAAGACGGGTATCGACCGTAAGAGTCGCGTGCAGAGTGGCGCTTGGGGTAGAAGCCCTGTCATGTACGAGGAAGACGTCGTGCGGCCGTTGAATGTGAGGAGGAAGAGAGACGAGATGTCCGAGTTGAACATCGGCCGAGATGTAAACGTCGACTTCGATCGGGACGGATTGAAGAGTCCTGCATGGGTACCCCGACTCACGCCGAGGAAAAAGGGCGAGGACCTATTCCTGGAGGTCGGGTGGAGATGAAGAACTGTGAGGCGAAGTTCAATTCTTGACTACATAACCTTTTCATGTGTATAGATTTTCTTAATGAATGACGATGGCGGAAATGGAGGAGAGGATGGGAGACGACAAGATTGTCATTTCCTTTACATGTTTGTATAGTACGAGATAGATACCCACAGCGCTCATTCATCCTTTTACGTATGTCGAAATTGTAACAATACACATATTGATTTTCCATGGTTTGCCCGTCAATCAAACAGCCTGGTTGAGCGGCCTTGGTACAGGGACTCCTTGGTGTTGAAATGGTGATTAGCCAGCCAGCGGTATATAGCACAGCGGGAGCGCTATTTACCCAACTGCCCTAGCAGCCTAGTCTCACGTCGTCGCAGTCTCTCAGCGCAACCGGAGAATAAACAGGTTAAATGTCCGGCTCTAGTCGAGACATCTGTATTGGGGCTTTCACGATTGAGCCTCATCTACGCAGTTCTGTTTCGGCCGCGGCGCCGATCCCGGGTGTCGCGATAGCCGCCCGGAAGAATTCTGTCGCATCGTGAGTTTTCTGCATGGCGCAACAAGTTCGAGCAAGAGTCTGAGAGAGGCGTTCCCTGCGCTATCGGGGCACTGTGGTCCGCCAGTGCGGTCGTTCTCGGCGCATGGCGGATGCAGAGGGAACAGAGGCTGGCCAGGGCAAGAGGTTAGTAATGGACAGTCACTTGCAGCTGCAGCAACGCGCCATTGACCGGCGGGACGAGACAGGACGAGACACGGCAAACCATGTCAGCACACGGCGCAGGCTTACTAAAAGTAAAACAAGCAGCAGATTCGTATGCGCGGTGTGCTAGCAGGTGGGATGTGTGGCATGTTGTGGCAGAAAGTGCGGCGACTGGTTGATGTAATCGGGCTTTGAGAGACCCCACTAATACGTCCACTCTGGCGTTGTGAGTGAGGCAGGCATGACGGCTAGCCACCCCACTATAACTACAAAACCTAAACACCAGCACGTCTGCGACAACTTCTCTTCTTTCAATCTTTTCCCCATCGACAGATCTGCCCATCATGCCGTACGGAAAGACCGATGAGCTCGCTATCAACACCATCCGCACCCTAGCGGTACGTTCCATCCCTCTGTTGTTCTGAAGGCCGCCCCACCATTATCAATAGCTACCCCGCTAGCAGTCCTGCTCCCAACAAAAGTGGCAGCAGCTTGTTGGAGCCTGTTGAGGTTTTTTGAGAGATTCAATGGCTGACTTTTGGTGTTTTCGTATAGGTCGATGCCACATTCCAGGCAAACTCCGGCCACCCGGGTGCCCCCATGGGTATGGCCCCGGTGGCCCACGTTGTGTGGAACAAGTTCATGACTTTCAACCCCAAGAACCCCAAATGGGTCAACCGCGACCGCTTCGTCCTCTCGTACGTACTTTTCTGTACTTTTCAATGCATACAATGGCAGTCATGGCAGGCTTGGAATCGCGCAATGATTCTGGGGTGGTCTGGATGAGAAGTTGTGGATCTCCGCGGCGACGGCAGATTAGAGAGCATTGCTTTCTTGATGTCAGCCGCTGTCGGAGATCCAGTTGTGGCTTTTGCACCAGAATCATCTCCGCGCAGACACAGTGCTTGCATTGGGGCTGCAACATCCCATGTTTTATCAGATGGAAAAGCTGACTGAGTGCCTAGCAACGGTCACGGATGCATGCTCCAGTATGCGCTGATCCACCTGTTCGGCTACAACGTCAGCATTGACGACCTGAAGAACTTCCGTGTACGTATTCAATATAATTCTACTGCCTGTCAAAACTAATTCCGCTGCAGCAAGTCGACAGCATCACACCCGGTCACCCCGAGTCCCACGACACCCCCGGTATCGAGGTCACCACTGGCCCTCTTGGTCAGGGTTTCGCCAATGCCGTCGGTCTCGCTATTGCTGAGAAGCACACCGCTGCCGTCTTCAACAAGCCCGGCTACGAGCTGATCAACAACCACGTCTACATGTTCTTCGGTGATGGTTGCGCTATGGAGGGTATTGCCAGCGAGGCTGCCTCCACTGCCGGTCACTTGAAGCTCGGAAACCTCATTGCCATCTACGATGACAACCACATCTCCATTGGTAAGTTTGGCAGAGAGTTCGAAAGGAAAAACGGGGACTGACGTCATACAGACGGTGACACCAAGTGCGCCTTCACTGAGGATGTCATGAAGCGATTCGAGTCCTACGGATGGCACGTACTGCACGTCGAGGACGGTGACTCCGACCTCGAGGGCATTGAGAAGGCCATCGCTGAGGCCAAGAAGGTCACCGACAAGCCTTCGATGATCAAGCTCACTACCACCATCGGTTTCGGTTCCAAGCTCCAGGGTACCGGCGGTGTCCATGGAAACCCCCTCAAGGCCGACGACTGCAAGCAGGTCAAGGAGAAGTTCGGTTTCGACCCCGAGAAGATGTTCGCTGTTCCCCAAGAGGTCTACGACATGTACCACAAGCACGCCGCCGAGGGTGCTGCTGCTGAGGAGGAGTGGAACAAGCTCTTCCAGAAGTATGGCGAGGAGCACAAGGAGCTTCACGCCGATCTCTCTCGCCGTCTGACCGGCGACCTCCCCGAAGGCTGGCAGAAGGCCCTCCCCACATACAAGCCCACCGACGCCGCTATTGCCTCAAGAAAGCTCTCTGAGAGCGTCCTCGAGGCGATCCACGATGTCGTCCCTGAGCTTCTGTCCGGTTCCGCCGATCTGACTGGCTCCAACAACACCCGATGGAAGAAGGCCGTCGACTTCCAGCCCCCTGAGCTCGGCATTGGTGAGTGGTCTGGCCGATACCTGAGATATGGTGTCCGCGAGCACGCCATGGCCGCCATCATGAACGGTATGTCCGCATACGGCACCATCATCCCTGCCGGTGGTACTTTCCTGAACTTCGTTTCATACGCCGCCGGTGCCGTCCGTCTGTCCTCTCTCTCACACCAGCGCGTCATCTACGTCGCTACCCACGACTCCATTGGTCTTGGTGAGGACGGCCCCACCCACCAGCCTATCGAGACTCTCGCCCACTTCCGCGCTCTGCCCAACATGATGGTCTGGCGCCCGGCCGACGGAAACGAGTGCTCTGCTGCTTACTACATGGCTCTTACCTCCAAGGGTACGCCATCCATCCTTGCCCTCACCCGTCAGAACCTGCCCCAGCTCGAGGGATCAACTCTCGAGAAGGCCATCAAGGGTGGTTACGTCGCTCTTGAGGACAAGGACGCCCAGATCACCCTCGTGTCCACTGGTTCCGAGGTCTCTCTCTGCTTGGAGGCCGTCAAGACCCTCAAGGACCAGGGCATCACCGCCCGTGTTGCTTCCCTGCCTTGCTTCGAGGTCTTCGACGCGCAAGACAAGGACTACAAGATGTCTGTTATCCCCGGCGGTATCCCATCGCTCAGTGTTGAGGTCATGTCCACCATGGGCTGGGAGAAGTACTCGCACGAGCAATTCGGTCTCAACCGCTTCGGTGCCTCCGGACCATACAAGGAGGTCTACGCCAAGTTCGAGTTCACCCCAGAGGGCATTGCCAAGCGTGCTAAGGCTACCATTGACTTCTACAAGGAGGTCAAGCCTCTCCGATCTCCTCTCGACCGTGCGTTCCAGCAGCTTATCTAAGCGTTTGCGTAGCGTAGGATCTGCTTTCTGGAAGTATTTGAGGTTTTGGAGCATCGTCTCTGGCTTTTAATGAGTGATGATATATAAGAAGCGGCAGCCCGCTTCGTGAAGGAGAAGGGAAAGTCATAACCCGAATGTATAGAATTTGATTCCCCAGTTGACCAACGATCTTGCACCCATGTGAACACAAAGCTGCCTGTGAGTGTGGATAGGAGTGAACCCAAATCGAGTCTCGAGCTGACCTATAATTACCCTTTCCAATCCAGCGTTCTAACTATATTAATAAATACAAGCGTCAATATCGAATGTCGTTGTGGATCATCGGCAATCTTAGCAAGCTTTGGTACTTTTGATTCTATTACGATGATATTGCTGCTAGGATTGTTTGAGCCCTGAAGAGTACCTGGAGACATTTGGTTGAGAGGTGTCAAGGAGGGTCTCGCGTGGGTTGGGTGGGGTTGTAGCTGCAACGACGTCGGCGGGCTCTCCTCCGAGGCCGCCGCATCATCAACTTTTTGCGACATCATCGCCAGCATCACCACGCATAACCATGATGTCTCGACCCGACGATGACAACGCTTCCGCTAGAAGTATTAGAAGACAGCCATCTTCGCGCAGCCTATTCTCCGTCCCGACTCCAATAAAGCAGCTGTTCGACCAATTCCCACTCGTCACGTATCCCGTCAACGACTTCCCACAACGCGCTCCACAACATCACGACACCCATGTACTCTATGTATTCACTACAGATGGAGGAGCAATTCGAGGCGCACCATCGCATAACCCAGCGTGTTTGAAGTGGCAGGTCAGTCCATGCCGATGAACGCCCATACCCCACCACCAAGCTCACACATTACAGGCGTACCTCAAGTTTTCCAAGATCCCCTTCAAGGTCGCCTCAGGAAACAACCACGCCTCTCCCAGCGGGTCGCTACCCTTTGTAATACCATCCTCACCAGATCCCTACAAGCGGACACAGCCTGTTCCCTCGAACAAACTGCAACGATGGGCCATGAACAATAGCGAGAAGGCAATAGAAGAGCCTGGAGATCTGCGCTACGAAGCATACCTGAGTCTGCTAGACCACCGGATACGGAGAGCTTGGGTACGTTCATCACCAGGAAGATTTGGCTCATGGCTAACATATCCCAGCTCTACACTGTCTACCTCTCTCCCAACTTCACCACCATCGCCGAACCCCTCTACATCCTCCCAAGTTCCCGCAATCCCTTCGTACGTCTGACGATATCCCGCGAGCTACGTCTGGCCGCTGAGACCGAACTGCTCAAATTCTCGAGCATAATAAACGACGAGACGCTATACAACCAGGCAGACGAGGCATGCGCAACGCTAGAGACGCTGCTGGGTAAAGACGACTGGTTTTTCGGCGCGCAAAGACCGGGCTTGTTCGATGCTAGTGTCTTTGCGTATACACATCTGCTATTGGATGAGCAACTGGGCAAGGGCTGGGTGGACACGCGTTTGCGCGACGCGCTAACGACGCGCACACGCCTGGTCACGCATCGAGACCGGATACTTGCTAGATACTTTGAAGATGGGTCTTGAGTGTAGGATGATACCCGGGAGCAGTAATGGAGTGAACGCTGTACGAATCTCTCATCAATGTCCAGTCATGAACATCACGAAGCAGCGACTACACGCATACGCGAAGCGTACTGTAGCTCTCAGCAGCTCGGTTCATGCCAGCTTGGAAGGACCGAACGCATGTTGAGTGAAGTTCGGACGTGGCGGACACCGGGGGCCAGTTTAGCGCGAGCCAGAACCCAGCAGATGCAGATGTGACTCACGCTACGGAGAGCTGCACGACACATCGCCTAATTGGGTAATGCTGGATACATGCTGGGCGTGGAGAGGGCGTGCGGAAGAGTCATTGGCTGAAGCAGGCTGGCATATAAGACTTCTTCAGGCACCGAGCAGGAAAAGCATCAATCCTCAGGAACTTTACCCCACTTCAGATCTGCAGTAACTGTTCGTCATCTGTTCCTAGGCCCAGCCAACCAACTGCCATCTACAATCAGCGAACAGTCTTTCATTCCGCCTTCGAGAGCACCATTACCAACATGACTCAGCCAACATCCATCGATATGACTTTCGACACGTCCCTCGTCGACGTCAACGCAGCTGCCAATACCTCCTTCTCGACCACTGAATCGGACTCAACCGTGCACGGCCAACAAACGTCAAAGCGTACCCAAACCTTACAACCGACTACGGCACCACAAAAGCCTTCAACTCCAGTTCAACATATCCCAACCCAAGCCGCCTACGACCAATGGGCCGCCATCTACGACACCGACGGCAACATGCTGCAAGCGATTGACGATCTAGAGCTTCAGACCCTCTTACCAAACTTCTTATCCCAAGTCAAGAGCAGCACTGCGACAGAACAAGAGCTCCGTGTACTGGATCTAGGATGTGGTACCGGACGTAACACGGAGAAGCTTGTGCGATACGATTGGAACGGAAAGAGCGTGGAAGTCATTGGTCTCGATTTCTCACAAGGCATGTTGGATGTCGCTGCGAAGAAGCTGTCGCCGTTGTTGAAGGAGAAGGACCAGCAAGGGGTGCGGTCCAGACTAGAGTGCTGCGACTGCTTCCCTACTGTCGACAACCCATCGATTTCTCCGCTACCTGCGGTGTCAAACCTTCGACCCGTCCATGCCGTTACTTCCACTCTAGTCCTGGAGCACATTCCACTGAAGGACTATTTCGCCACACTGGCTGCATTGCTCTTACCTGGTGGCACGGCGTTGGTCACAAACATGCACGCGGACATGGGACGCGTCAGTCAAGCTGGGTTCGTTAATGCTGACGGTGTCAAGGTTAGGGGAAGCAGTTATGTTTACACAGTGGAAGAGACTTCCGCGGCAGCCAAGACAGCAGGACTTGAGGTAGTGAATGTGAACGAACGGGAGATGAGGAAGGAGGATGTAGAGGGTGGTGCTGTGGGAGAAAGGGGTTGGAAATGGGTAGGCACAAAGGTTTGGTTCGGAATGGTGTTCAGAAAGACGTCGTGAGCCGCTTAAAGAAGGCCTCATGACAACCACACTCATACCTGCTGGTATGAATGGAGCCATGTTGTTCAGTTGCACATAACAATTTTCGTAGACTATTGATACACAAACGCTTTGCTCCACCATTCGTAGCATTCAGTCCAAGAACGTTGAAGACTCTCACATCATATAACTTTCACTGGCTGATAATCTCAACATACGACCACAGGTAAAGGAATATACTGGATCCCGTTTGCTCTCCACACGTCAAGCCTTTAACCGGCTCGCTAGTAGCTTAGTGGGTGACTATAAGCGAATCCCAGCTGTTGTATGTTTTTGTTTTTGCTTGTGCGAGAGATCTAGAGGGATAGTAAAAAGATGTAGTGAGAAGCATGTGTAATCGGGAAGTTTAGGAGACGAGCATGAGACCTGAAAGCCCTCAAAGAGAACTGGATACAACGCTAAAGTTAAGCAATGGGTATAGACATAGTAAGCTGTGTGACAGCGTAATTCGTAATCTCATGAAGCGTGGTAGCTAGGAGGCATCTTCTCCTCGTCGTGCCCTCGCATACTTCCACCCATATTCTGCGTCGAAGTTTTTGATCCACTTCTCCGCAGTTCTACGAGGTGCACTTCGTCATCCGCCTTTCCAATACTCTCTAGCGTGTCGTCTACCGTCCTCGCCATCGTTGTATTGAACAAGCTTGCATCCAGCATGCTTCTGCTTGGCTTGCCTCTCTTTTTCGACGGGCGATTAGGCGTGTCGTCGTCTTCGTTTGGGTCGGAGTTGTTTTGCGTCGTGCCAAAGCACTTGGGTACCAGCTGAGCGAGGAATCTCCGGAAGGCTGGCATGGATACGCATATTATACCGACGTTGATCTCGAGGATGGAGTATACGCCGGACATGAGGTTGTCGTACATGGGATTCGTTGATGTGGCGTATTTGGCGACGGCGCTGAGGCGGATGCACGAAACTATGATGGTACTGAAGTATTCTTGTCAGCATGCGACGATATCATGTTGAGGGGTTATATTGACTTACATGCCACCGACGCCAAAGATTGCGCTGAGGAAGACCTTTTTACGCGAACTGAGCTTCAGTGTCATCAGGTTGGGGATCGGTATCAGAACTATCGCGACGTCCAGGCCGATGTTGAACGCCGCTGCTACCAGATAGAACAGATTCTGGTTGATACAGTAGTCTGGTGTGCTCGTGCCATCCCATGAAGTCCATACTGCCGAGATAGGCCTGCAGGCAAAAGTCATTGTGAAGGCGAATGCGATTGTCCAGAACACTGATATGGTAATGAACACCCAGATCCATTTCCGGGTCGTCTCTGAGGGAAATATGCGAAGGAAGAAGAATAGGAATGCGAGCTTGGTGAGTCCACAGCAGAGGAAGTAGGATATTTGGGAGCCGTAGGTCAGCTGTTGAGCAGTCAGTAGTCATTCACACACATTAAGCATGGTTTGCTTACCCTCAAAACCCTGTAGATATCGCTATGGGGAACTACCCAGGTGTCTTTCCCGAAACCGAGCTTTGGCGTGTAGCATTGTATCACCGTCACGGGGAGACAAGCTGCTTCGGCTGCTATTGCAAAGACATCATCTAGCCCGAAAGAGTTCTGACTGATTGCTGACCACGTGCGAACGGTGACGGCGGCCAGAGCAACGGAACCTGCTGTAATACCCGTCAAGAATATAACGTTGGATCGGTCGCGGACAGGTCTCTCGCACATGGTGGAAGTAACGTTAACAGCAGCTGTTGTTCGCCTCATGTCAGCGCGGTTGATGTAGAGTCTGGTGGGGATTCTTACTGAGGGATTCTTTGACTGAGCAAGCGCCGCCCACGCAGGTCTGGATGGCCGCGTTTATGGATTCACTGTCACAGATACATTGCACATCAGTAGGTGCGCATGTCGTCTGGGCAGTGACAGCATTCTGGAAGCATTTTGCCTAGTACTGTCAGTGATATGCTCTCATAGAAGTGGAGGAGAAACAAGGACTTGCGGCGCATGGCGGTAGCATGTTCAAGCCATCTTGTGCTAGAGCTGTATGGACAAAACTACTCAATGTTGTGAGCCCTATGACGAGCACCTCGTTCCACCTCATGTTGAGTAGTATAAGAGAACCAAGAAGGTGAGCCACAAATATGACGACCTGTCGATCCTCGTTCAATGATCATTGATACATATAGTATATGATGGTGGTAAAAAAGCAGAAGAAAGGCAGCCATGGCCGAATGCCATCCAGAATCCTGGGTATCATCAGCACGTTTCCGTACATCCTTACCAGCATCCCGGTATTCGATATCCCAGTTGATATTCAGGAGAATTTGTTTCTGCTTGACCTGCGTAGGATTCGAGGCGAACTCTACCGAGCAGGCTGCATGACAGACGTGCCGTCCCAGGCGGCTCGGCACCCGGGGACTACCGAAACGGTTAATTGCATCAGAAACCTAGCTGAATTGAGTCCTCGCCGAAGTACATATCGATGCGGAAGTTGTTTTGTGAAGATGTAGTAAGCCGCGTAGTGAGTAATCCGATCAATTCTTAGAATGCGTGGCTACGCCAGTGTACAAAGGCCCGAATACCTACTACACGGCGTTGCCCTCACGACCATAGTATTCCTGGTGGCCTGGGAAAAAAAGATGGAGAGGCGTTCAAGGTTGTGCATCCATCATCGCGGTTTCAGATCCTATTGGCTCCCCGCGGAAGTCCAGATATCCACACAACGTCAAATTGATAGTCTAGACGTTGTTGCGAGCTAAGAAGCGGCTCTTGGGCTTGCGCGTTTGTAGACTATAGTCTCATGCATCGTGATTATGCATCTCTGGCGTAATTGAGGCGGCGTTGGGGGACGGTAGGTGTGTGGAGGGCTGGCTTCGCTTCGCTTCATGGCAGCGTAGGGAGACTGTAGACAAACACACGAGTAAGCTGCGTCGATAGTCGACAGCAAAGTTAGAGAAACCACAAGTCATGCAAAACTCTGGAGGCGGCAGGCGGGATAGGCGACACGGGACGGCGGCTGAGCCTGCTATGAACAGGGTGTTGCGATTAGGGTGCTGCCGTGGACCCCCTTGCAAAAGCAACCCCCATTCGGCCATTCCGAGCGCGGCAGCATCCTTCCGACTCCCAGGCACATGGCAATGAGAAAAAGCGATGCTGGACAGTCTGGACAGATCAAGTCGAACAATGAATAGTTCGCGGGTCTCATAGGCGACTCTGGTTCAGCTGGCGAAGCTGAGAATACCATGACTTTGCTTTTGCGACTCGTGCAAAGCGCACACCATAGCCAAAACGCGAGGGTCTGCGGTACGCCCCGGCACTTGCAGCGTGCCCACAGTAGAGAGACCCGCATTTCGGCATCGTCTCTCCTTTCAGTATACTGGGACGGCCTGTTCGAGTCGTAGCTCGCTATCGGGGGCCTGAAAGGGTTGGCTGCAGAGTGCTGCAGTTACCTAGGTACCGATGAGCGACGATGGAAGATAATTCCGTCTGTCCCCTCCACCATCGTTCGCGTGGTGTTTCTGTCCTTCAACGTCGGGATATGCAACATGACGCTTCTACATGATGTTTTTCTGGGTGCACATCTTCGATCTGTCCTCTTGATCTACCTTTCTACATCTTTCGTCTCATACTATCTCGTCTGGACCATCTATACTCGAACCCTCCATCCACTAGCCAAGGTTCCAGGACCATTCTGGGCATCAGTATCACGATCATGGCTTATGTGGCACCATCATAAGGGCGACATTGAGATTGTCGAGCGCGTTCTTCACCAGAAGTATGGCCCCATCATTCGGATCGCTCCCGATGAGGTAGTGACGACCGACACCACGGCCATTCCACACATCTACCCGGTTCAAAAGGCCCTACAAAAGACGGATTGGTACAATCCATGGCGACCATCAGGACTAAACAGCCAGCCGGACTTGTTCACGCAGACCAACGAGAAAGCGCACGCAGCGTATCGAAGGATTGTCGGAGGTGTCTATTCCCTTTCCAGCATACTGAAAAACGAACCAAATCTGGATGCGACCTTGGAGCTCTTTCTTGAACGGTTGGGTAGCTTCGCCGACAGCAACGAAGCATTTGACTTTGGTCTTTGGCTCGAGATGTAAGTTACAAATTAGCTTTCACCGATTTCACAGTCTAACTTGTGAATAAGGTACTCGTTTGACAGCGTCGGAGTCGCCTTCTTCGGTCAAGCCTTTGGTTTTCTCAAGGACAGCATCGATTACAACAACTACATCCACTCGGTCCATCTTGCAATGCCGTTTCTTACCCTTCTGACAGTCACCCCGTACTACATACGACCGTTTCTGCTTTTGGTCGCGGTGTGCATCCCGAGCTTACTGAAGGCTGTGCTGGCTGTGGAGGACATTAAGAAGACTGCGATTATAGAGACGAAGACCGCTACCGAGAGAACCCTTGAAGTAACGGGAAAGCGACCCGACTTACTTTCTCAGCTTCTGGCGATCGTGCAAGAAAAGGGAGAGAAAGTCAACTACTCGCACAGAGAGATCACATCGGACATGTGGGTTGCAATGTATGTGTACTGAAAGAACAGCTACCGTGGAGTATCATGCTGACTGTTATTAGCATGGCTGGAGCTGATAGCACGTCCATCGCAATGCGCTCCGTTTTCTACTTCTTGATGAAGAACCCCGAGAAACTGGAAAAGGCGCGCGCAGAAGTCGATGCGGCCTTTGAGAACGGTACCCTCTCATCACCAGTTCAGTACAGTCAGGTATCTTCTCTTCTATACCTCGTAGCGACTGTAAAGGAAGCCCTGAGATTATTCTCTCCATTCTCGGTATCGATGCCTCGATATGCTCCAAGCGAAGGAATCACTCTGTGTGGGAAATACATCCCAGCAGGCTACACAGTTGGAATGAACCCTTCGATCGTTTCGCACGACAAAGACGTATTTGGAAAAGATGCGCTGGACTTCGTCCCCGAGCGATGGCTGCAAAGTGAAGATCGTACGCGGGCGATGGACAAGACAATCCTAGGTTGGGGTGCTGGAACAAGGACATGCGTTGGAAGGCCTGTGAGTATACCATGATCGCATAGGAGAAAAGTACTGACAATAGACAGCTCGCTTTGACACAGATTTACAAGATAACTACCGAGGTACTGCATCGGTTCGACTTTGAGATGGCACATGACAAGCCGTGGAAGACACACAATGCTTCTTTCAACGTCCAGACTGGTGTTGAGTGCAGGTTCAAGCGAAGAGGTTCGACTACACCTTAGTCGCTCAGAGATAGTCAGTATTGCGGTTACATAGGCAAGACCGTCGCAGTCTAGAGTATAGGCGATATCGGAGACGCTTAGTCATCGCCGCAGCCGAAACGTACATTCAGAAGTTGTATGCAGTGTACTGAGATTTACATGTTGTGCGCGTTAGACCTTGAAAGACCGCCTTTAGCAGCTTTTAGTGTTGTGTTGCTCCAAAGAAATCCAGGCCTCCCTATGGTTGCCAAAATCAATAAGATGATTAAGTTAGAGAAGACGCCGACAGCGACCTAGTTGAAGATGCGGTGTCTTCGTCGGTCAGCTTTTGCTTCCTCAAGAAGAGATCTCGGGGTGCAGGGTCCGGTGTTTTACCCAATCAAAAGTCATCATGACGTCAACCTCCGTTCATGATCCCATGTGCATTCTCAAAACTTCGCCATTTGAGACGCCGATAACTTTTCCTAAACGGCGATTATCATCGGCGAATTCGACAAGCAACTGAGATTAAAAGCAAGGAAAGAGTTCATATCTCCAAGGCCTTACCAGTAGCACCATCAGTCAACACTCAGAAACGACATCATCCAGAACACAACACAACATGGACTCGCTTCCAGTGAACAACAAAACGGCCGGTGAGCCTGAGAGTGCATACAACAACACACTTGAAACTGGTGCTGGTATGACTCAGGTAAGCATAACTTTGCTCGTATAGTGACTACGCTAACCAATTGTACAGAACTTCGCGCCAGTCAAGAGGATATGCGCTCACCTCAACGCCTTCCACGCATACGCTCACGACCCCAAGCGCGATGCAGTCGAAGCAAACCACTACTGCGCGCACCTGAACGATGAAGTACGCCAATGCATTCTCTACGACTCACCCGAGAAAGGCGCGCGAATCATCGGTATTGGTAAGCATCCTACATCCTCCGCAAAATCTCATACTAAACCAACCCCAGAGTACATGATCTCCCCAAAACTCTACTCAACCCTCGACGCCGAAGAGCAAAAGCTCTGGCACTCCCACGTCTTCGAAGTAAAGTCCGGAATGCTAATCATGCCGCGTCCAACCGGCATACCAGAAGCCGCATGGGAGGTAGCCGAGAACAAGGAGATGGAAGAAGTGGTCGAGCTATACGGCAAGATCTACCATCTCTGGCAGACTGACCGTGGTGACAAGTTGCCGCTTGGACCTCCGCAGCTGATGACGAGTTATACGGCAGCGGACCAGATGCCGGATTTTGAGAAGAGGTTGAAGGAGAGGGATCAGCGGTTTGATAGCGATTATCAGAGGAAGAAGGGGGTGAGGGAGTATATTGAGGTGCCGAAGATTCATGAGAATGCGGATGCGACGTGGGCTAAGGGAGGTGTTGGTCATTAGATGGGGATCGTTGGAGGGATTCGCATTACGGGCGAGGCATTCATGAGGAGGTGGCGATGCATGGGTAGGGTTTGGTAAGATGCGAAACGGGTGTTAGCAGGGATGAGCCAGAGATGTTTTCGATGATAAGATCACACACTTCCAAGTATATCATCAATGTTCAGAATCAAACTTGTGTAAAGGAAGTAATGTTCTTGATTAATGACTGTACTTGGTACGTTCTCAGATTCAACAACGCTGTAATAGCCATACAGTAACATACACAATAGAGGGGCTCCACCCCACCCCTAGAGCCCAATGAATTAGCAATAAAGCATAGCGTAAGTGTAAAGTAAGGAAAAAGCCAATGTAACAAGTATCTCAGCACATTTACTCGATCTTCGAAGTTTAGAGCCAGCTCTATAACCATGAAATGCAACCACCCGGTCAATCTGACATATAAACAATAGAGTACTCTCCACATTCATGTACAATGTACTCTTTCTATTCTCTATTAGGACCCCCCTTGATTATCCAAGAAACTTTTTCATATCCATCTTCTCTTTGATTTGCTTGTTGGTCGGCCTCTGCGTTGCACGATCATCAGGGTTATCTGGTGGACTGTTACGCGACCTTCTGTGCGAAACAGTCGTTGAGGGGCCTGATGTGGCCATCGATAGATTCCCCATGGAAAGGGTGACAGCTGTATTCAGGTCCGAACCTGTGGGTCTCGGTCGCCGACCAGGATTTTCTCTACGCTGATCAAGAGAGGGTAGATTGGCAGGCGCAGGTCCCGGTCTCCACCCAGTACGTGCCTGATCTCCTCTCGCATCGAGGGACGCCAAAAGTCGTTGGTTTGCCGGGTCAACAGCGGCAAACGATGGCCGTTGTTCGCCGCGTCCGACATTTGTGGGCGGCTGCATGGCATATCCAGTCTGCGGATCGTCATATCCATAAGTTGAGGACAGCGGCGGGCGAGGTTCCAGGACTCGAGGCACTTTTGTGTCACTTCTTTTCGGGTTCTGTGGGCGAGATTTCTGTGGGCGAGGTTTCGTGATCTGAGGCACTTTTAGGTTACTTCCTTCAGGGTTTTGTGGGTTGTATTCTTCAAACTGTATGTCCATTCTCTTTGAGTTCGGAGGTTCGCGAGGTTTCTCTGTGCGAGGTTTTGTGACCTGAGGCACTTTTAGGTTACTTCCTTCAGGGTTTTGTGGGTTGTATTCTTCAAACTGTATGTCCATTCTCTTCGAGTTCGGAGGTTCGCGAGGTTTCTCTGTGCGAGGTTTCTCTGTGCGAGGTTTCGTGACCTGAGGCACTTTTAGGTTACTTCCTTCAGGGTTTTGTGGGTCGTATTCTTCAAACTGTATGTCCATTTTCTTCGAGTTCAGAAGTTTGGGCTGTGGTGAGCCGTATGATAGTAGGGTTTCTGGCTTCTCCCACGTTATACTTGCTGGAGTCTCCGGCCTCCCAGAAGATAGCGCCGTCTCCTTAATCACCCTCTGCTCTTTGTAATTTCTCTGATAGGCAGCATGGTGGTTCGCTTTCTCACGCAGCTTAGCCTTCAGATCTGGGTCATGTTTCGCCCCTTCTTGATCGACTATCCTCTTCTGCGCATAGTAAATGCGTTCCTTGGCATTTCTCTCGTCCTTTTCCTTACGCAGGTCAGCCCCCAGTTCTAGGTTATGTTTCGCCTGTTCAGCGTTGTCTGATCTCTGTTGTCGCCTTTTTTGGTTGATGGCTGCTTTCTGCTCTACGGTCCGCTTCGGCCGAGGTTTTGCTGGTGCCTTATTCTTATCTTGTGCCCCACGCCTCTTGTTCTCCTCCCTATCGTCTCCTCCAGAGCCCCTGCCCTTGCCTGGTAATCCGCTCATGATGTATACTTATGTAAGAGAGGCTTGGGTTTCCAATTGTGTAAGGACAGGGATACAATTGCGGCCGTTGAGCGTAGTCGTGTCTCGTGGAGCTGGAATGTTGATCAAGTTTGTTGTCGATATAGTCGAATGATGCTGTAAATGGTAGTGTGTGTATGCGTTGTCTGTGAGGTCTAAGGAAGAGTAAGTGTAAGTGCTGGGGCGGCTACTTATAGCCACCAATGCATCGTGGGTTCTTCACAGGACGAAGCATTGCGTGCTTGCAGTATGTGATTGTGTATGCGTGATATTGATATCCAGTCGTTCAACTCCGAGCCTAGGTCCCATATCTGCAATGTCTACATTGTACATTGAAGAGCATACCGGAAGGTTGCGTGATGCTTATGCTACATTAGCTTCCGCACAGAGCCACAGGTGAGGGGTTATACCGAATCTCGTTCGCTCTTCACACATCAGGCCTTTGACAGGCGAACCAGTGACTGGATAGGTGAAGGCATCGGTATGAGCATGCGGATCGCGCGCAAACACTGTCGTATCCGTAACTCAGTCCGTTTCTGGAGGCGGGCCCAGAAGTTGTTCGATACTGAAGGCGCCCGTAATGACGGTAATCGTCTTGGCCAGCATCTCATGTTGACTCTGTTGTGTTTTGCACGACCTCGATGCTCGCAGGATCTCTCTTCTCGCGCCTCATCAGCTTGCCCAACACATCCTTTTCCTTATCGCTGTCTTCCGCATCGCTCGCGCTGTCCTTGTCGCTATCCGCGTTCGGGTCTTTTTCTTCGAGAACACCTAGTCCGAGGTCCTAGACACTGTCAGCAGCGCCCTACGATACCCTCAAGATCCATTACTCACCATCTCAATATACGGCTCGCCCTCGTCCTGTCCCTCTACAGACTCCAGACTCTTCAGCGTCCCGGCCTTCTTCTGCGCCTCCAGCTCCTCGTTCGCAGCCTTCAACTGCGGCAGAAAGTCTTTGAGGAAGCCGCGAATGTCTGGTCCTAGATCTTCGTTGCCCAACTTCATAATTGGCTTCGTGCCTCTGTTGGCGCGGAGGTTTACGACACCGTCTTGTGATCGTAGCTCCTCGAGCTCCATCTCTGTGTCCTCGCCATCATCCTCTTCCTCCTCGCTTGAGCTCTCGTCGCTGCTGGGTTCTTCGCTAGATTCGGACAGTTCGCTGTCGCTATCCGAGGTGCCAAAGTCGCTTGCATTCGTGGTAGAATCGTCTGCAGCGTTTGTCGACGCGAGGGCGGAGTCGGAGGATATCGAGGGCGGCGAAGATTCGGGCTCGTTGGAGAAGCGCACGCGCTTGCTGCGGTGCGCGACGGCTTCGTGGACGTATGGCGACATAATTACTTGGTGGTGTTCGATATGGGTAATCTTAGGAGAGACGGTTAAGGACGTCTACGCGTTTGGAAGTGGGTTACAAAAGTCTGGGGAAAAAGTTGGGCAAGATTCAAAGTTTCGCGCAGACGGGTGCAGATCTCGCGCCAGGGTAGCGAGCCGGAGAAGACCCTTGGCTACGTCACCGCCCTCTCCAGCATTTGGCGCCGACAGCCAATGCCAACCAGATATGCACACATGACATGTTCAAGTACATCTATAACAATGGGATATCCCGTCAGATGCTCCACAGTCCAAGGCGTGCGGCTGCAGATTGGCCTGAGGCAGAAGCGACTCGTTGGTGTCAGCAGGGGTCGTGAAACGGCGTCTTGAAACGTAGTTAGAGCGGGCGCCTGCATGGCTGACTTGTGCTGTCCGAGGGGTTAAGCCTCTTAAAGCTCCAGCTGGCCTCGTACATATCCGACCTCACCCCTTCTCGTCAATCTTTACAGTCTCGCTGCTGTCATCCTCCTCTCTACCTGTTCTCATAGCTTTTGTGACGCTGTCTGCAAGAGTCGGTGTGTCGCTGCCCCGCTCCGACTTTCATCAGTATTCACCAACCGTGTGCAAGGCTCAATTGTCTTTGCGCGAGATTTCTGACTATCAGACCTTAGGTATGTACTCATTCTCTCATGTCTCTACAATCTCTACAAATTCATCCATCTCCGTTCCCGTCGTCTCTTTCTTGCCACCCGATCGAAAGTCGGCCTCAGACTTGTCCACATGCACCCATCCATGGATCTTATCAAGATCGATCTGCCCCGATCCAGCATCAGCATCAGATGATTGCATATTTCCCTATTGATCATCTGCTATCATCTTGCGCGTTCTGCTATTGTGCCAGCATGATCAGTTTTCATCGAGCCCAACGCCGAGCGCTGGTTGGTCCACTCGTCTTCACCTTGCGCGTTCACCTTCACCACCGTCATTCAAGCGAGTCCACAATAGATTTCTCTGCTATTGTTTGTCTTTGCAATGAGGAGGCTGGGAGAGCATAAAAACTTTCCAATCGCTCGTCCTTGACTGTCTCTCGTCCATCACACTCCTGTTCTTCACAAGCCTTCACAATCTACAAACCACCATCCGCCAGCTTTCTATATCTATTCAGAGACTCTCAGTCGTCATTTCTCCTCTCTACATCACTCTATCCTATACCACATTCACATCCATCACCATGACCATGAACGAGACCATTCGTATCATCGGCATGCTCAGGGCCTCTGCCGCTCAGAACGCTGACCAGGCCAAGCTCAAGGAGCGCGAAGCTTTCTTTGCCTCGGCCAACGAGACCCGCAAGAAGCTTAGGACTGCAGCAGCTGCCCGCAAGTCCACCTCCGTCTCTCTTCTTGAAGACCTCATCTACGCGACCAAGCACGGCGTACCCTACCCCAACGAGCCCCTGACGTACGAGGCCAAGGTCGCCGCTGATCGCATCCTCGTCACCCTCAACAAAGCCATTGCCCGTGAGACCATCCTCGTCGTCCCCAACGTCCAGCCCAAGGAGACCTCCGAGGACCTCGCCAACGACCTCGCTATCGAAAACAGCAAGCGCATCTTCACCGCGCGTTCCAACATCAAGGAACTCCAGCTCATCAGCAGCAACCTCGGCATCCCCATCACATCTCCCGCCATGGCTGGTCGCTTCCCGGTGCTCAGCACCTCTGACCTCCCGAAGGCATCGGCTGAAGAGCAGTCGGCCACGGCCTCGCCTGCGCGCGGCACCGCCATGCTCAACAACATCTTCAAGTCGGTGCGAGTACCCGAGTTCCGCTTCAAATGGATGTTCTGGGCAGAGAAGGGTCAGCAAGCCGCGCCCAAGGACAAGGCGGCTTCAGAAGAGTACCTCACCCGCCCCAAGCCGCTTGGAGACCAGATCGTCTCCGTCAAGGAGTTCTACCAGCACTTCAACAACATCCCGGTGGAGAACCTGAAGCTGCGAGACTCGATACACCTCTTCCACCTGGGTGTGAAGCCGGTCTGGGAAGACCCGCGGAATACGCGCGGCGGCGCATGGTACTTCAAGGTCAGCAAGGACGTGGCGGCGCAATTCTGGCACGAGATGTGTCTGCTTGCGGTTGGCGACGTTTTGCAGGGCGCCGTCGAGACGAAGCGTGCCTGTAAGTTGATTTCTTTCCAACAATCCACACGTATTCAAGACTAATCTTCAACAGCCTTCAACGACGACATCTGCGGGATCTCGTACAGCGTTCGCTGGAACGCTGTACAGATCGCCGTCTGGAACCGGGACGCGGAGAACGAGGATGGCCGTCAGAAGCTTCTGGCGGTCATCCTAGACAAGCTGTCAGAGGAGCTTCGGCCGAAGAAGGAGGACAGCTACTGGTACAAGGCGCACAAGGAGCACAAGGGCTTTATTGAGCAGTAGTGAGCCGACCTTGTACCGGTAGCTGTCGCTCGGTTGAGAATGAGGTGGTGGAGGAGCTGATGGATGAGGCGGGGAGTACGTAGACGGGCTTGATCCACACACATGCATATCAGCATCGGCGTTGATGAATACATCCTTTTCGACACGCACATGAGTCTCTTTTTTTATCAACCGAATGCCTCCTGCCTGATCTGACAGCCCCTCTTCCGTGACTTCCCCATACACAGGAGCGTACCAGGGTAGAGTAAGAATATGATGCAACCGCCTGAACTATTCAATGAAGACGCCTCAACCCGCCAGCATGTTCTCGTTCTGCATCCGTGGTGGTAGTGTTTGCGCCAATCACGGGCATCGTTCGCCGCAGACGCTCGGACCATATTTCCAGTAGAAGCATCATCCACTTCTCACGATTCTCCGCATCTTGCCTGCCGCCGCCTCACCACACCAAATCCGCACAACCCGCCAACCATGGCCGCGATACCCACCTCCCTCTTCCGCTGGGTCGTTCCTGCCGCCATCGGCGCCAGTGTCGTGCAGAGCTCGCTCTACGACGTCAAGGGCGGAACCCGCGCCGTCATCTTCGATCGTCTGTCGGGAGTCAAGGAACAAGTCGTCAACGAGGGCACCCACTTTCTGGTTCCATGGCTGCAGCGGGCGATTGTCTTCGATGTAAGGACGAGGCCGCGGAACATCAGCACCACGACCGGCAGCAAGGACTTGCAGATGGTCACACTCACACTGAGGGTGCTGCATCGCCCAGAGGTCAAGCAGCTGCCTAAGATCTACCAGGTATGTCTATGCCACCCCGCACTCGTGCAGCAGGCAGCTTGAGGAATTGCATCTAACGCGCTAGTAGAACCTCGGTCTCGACTACGACGAGCGTGTCCTGCCCTCCATCGGTAACGAAGTCCTAAAAGCCATCGTCGCCCAGTTCGATGCCGCCGAGCTCATCACCCAGCGAGAGGCCGTCTCGAACCGCATTCGCACCGACTTGCTCAAGCGCGCCAACGAGTTCAACATTGCCCTCGAAGACGTCTCCATCACCCACATGACTTTCGGCAAAGAGTTCACCAAGGCCGTCGAAGAGAAGCAGATCGCACAACAAGAGGCTGAGCGCGCGCGCTTCATTGTCGAAAAGGCCGAGCAGGAGAGGCAGGCCAACGTCATCAGGGCAGAGGGTGAAGCCGAGGCTGCCGACACAATTTCAAAGGCAGTTGCCAAGAGTGGTGACGGC